GTTGTATTAATTGTACACTTGTATTGTTATGCCATAATTGTTGTATAATTATGATAAACGGTTTAATTACCCAAGTTTGAAATTTCCGGCATTGTGACTACCACTTACAAGAAGTCCCGCGTGGCATACACAAAGGCGAGCAGCAAATTCCGACCCAATCATCTTAACTACTTGGTATTCCTATATAATCTAGCCGTCCCACCATAATTTTGGTGCATTGGCCACTTGAAAGGATCCATCAGGTTAAGGAAGTTACAACCAAGTACGTTAATTCTTCAATCATGTCCAACCTATCACTGGCAAGTCACAAACGGATACTCACGCGGTATACTAACCAATTGCAAAAAGTTCTACCCCGATTCAAAGACGCGCAGTTAGAAGAAATCAGCGTTCAAAACCTGCAAGATGAGATAACGCCCACCGTTATTCAAACAAGCCTACAGCAGTTAGAGGAAGCAGTGGCAGCGTTAGAAAACATGACCACAAAGATTCAACACGCACTAGATGAACTCGCTACCATGTTCGAAAAGTCACACCCAACGTCACCGAATATTGAAGAAGAGTTCGCACAGTACTCAACTACTGTTGAAGAAGCCATTGGCAATACTTTCGAATACCTTGCACTCCTTCACGCTCAGATCCATGGCTTCAAGGCTCATGCTGAGCTTCTCAACACATCCCACAAACACTCCACTACGAATAGTAGTAAAGATGAATCCACCGTCACCGCAGTCGTGAAAAATCTGGAGCTACCCACAATCCCAATCCCAACATTCAATGGCGACATCTGGGACTGGGATAACTTTTGGGAGCTTTTCAACTTAAACGTACATTCACAAAACCTTTCAGAGCTACAAAAATTCAATTACCTACTTAACTCCTTAAAAGGGGAACCTCTACAATCGATGAAGAAGTTCCAACTCACCAGNACGCCCACCGTTATTCAAACAAGCCTACAGCAGTTAGAGGAAGCAGTGGCAGCGTTAGAAAACATGACCACAAAGATTCAACACGCACTAGATGAACTCGCTACCATGTTCGAAAAGTCACACCCAACGTCACCGAATATTGAAGAAGAGTTCGCACAGTACTCAACTACTGCTGAAGAAGCCATTGGCAATACTTTCGAATACCTTGTACTCCTTCATGCTCGGATCCATGGCTTCAAGGCTCATGCTGAGCTTCTCAACACATCCCACAAACACTCCACTACGAATAGTAGTAAAGATGAATCCACCGTCACAGCAGTCGTGAAAAATCTGGAGCTACCCACAATCCCAATCCCAACATTCAATGGCGACATCTGGGACTGGGATAACTTTTGGGAGCTTTTCAACTTAAACGTACATTCACAAAGCCTTTCAGAGCTACAAAAATTCAATTACCTACTTAACTCCTGAAAAGGGGAACCTCTACAATCGATGAAGAAGTTCCAACTCACCAGGCAAAACTACTTAAAAGCCATAGAATTCCTCACTAATAAGTACGGTAATCCTGAAGAACTCATTCGCCAGCTCCTCAGAAAGATGGACAAAATCTCCCTTCACTCGTCGTCCATACACGAGCAACGCAGACTATTGGAAGACATAGAAGCCATCATAGGCCAATTAGTGCAAAAAGGTGAAAATGTCGACAATCAGTCCATGTATCAAAAGGTTCTTTCGAAATTTCCAGTCGGGATCCAACGTAAAGTTATTCACAAAAAGATCACTTCTCCCGACGAACCCTTCACCATGCAGCAGCTTCTAAAATATTTTGAAGTGGTTATAACCAGCGAGGAACAGGTATGTCACCAGACCAGCGCAACACCTCCTCGAGATACATTTAGCTTCGACAACAAAGGCAAGCACTGGAAGCCGCCGACAACAAGGCTTCTGTGCATGTATTGTAAAGGCGACCATAAGCCTTCCTATTGCAGTAAATACGAAACACCTCAAAGAAGATACCAGTACCTACAAAATAATAAGCTATGCAATATATGCGCCCCTTTGCCATCCCACAGCACAATTCAGTGCAACGGGTCGTCGTGTCGTAAGTGCCAGAAACGTCACCACACATCATGCTGTCTCTTTCCGACACCAAACGAGAAAACGTTCGTGCCACCTAC